TCAAATGTAGACAATATTTTGGGACAAAATCGAAATTACACAAAGGAGTATTAAATTGACTATATTTGTAAATCATATCGTTTTTTTCAACAAATGGATTGCATTAGGGCATATCAAGGAAAAAAATTAGAACAATCAATTTTGAAGTTTTTCAGCATTTGTCTCTCTGTGTGCTCAAAACTGAGTTGCAAATGATCGGAAATCGGATTGTGTACAGTATTCTCACTATCAATCAACTAAATAAGCAATCTTACATAATCGGTTTACAGTGAAAGCGTCCTTCGGAAATACCATAACTGTTTGTCCGTATGTTTTTTTTTTACCCGGGGACTACAAAGATTTCGCTATGAAAATTCACTTATATACTAAGGATATGGTGATACCGGGTATATATTTATATTTTTTCTTATGGAATGCTTTGACCTTGACCTTAGAGTTTGGCCTACTTTTTACAAACTTTAACCTTGGTCAAAACGTTTGAACAATAAGGGCTAGAGCTTTCATACTTCACATATGTAATCCTTTTGACAAGACCTTTCAATGAATATCAACAACTTTGACCCTTTGACCTTGGAGTTCCACCTCCTTTTTTCAAACTTTAACCTTGACCACACCTTTGGAACAGTAAAGGCCAACGCTTTCATACTTCCCATATATGTAATTTTTGAAACACCTTTCTTTAGAAACTAACAACCTTGACCCTTGGACCTTGACCCTTGAGTTTGTCCTACCTTTAAAAATGATAACCTTGGTCAAACCCTTTGAACAAGTGGCACTTGGTTTTATATAATTCAAACTTGTATTTCTTGTAAAAATGCCCTACTTTAGGTACCATATTTGATCTGCATTTGAGAAAGTTTAACCTTCGCTGTGTTGCCATACGGTGGCATCAGTATTTCGCAAAAACATCTTGTGTTTTTTTTATCAACGATAAGCATTTATCTGTCTTAATAATACACTTCTTACTGAAATAGCAGGAGTGATTCTTTTTTAAATCGGGAGAAAATGGATGTTCCTGAAGGGAGAGGAGTGCTAGCGCTAAAGCAATGCTTTTCCCTCTTTGATTTAAAGAGAAGTAGAAAAAATCTGCAATTTGAAATTTGCAATCTGAGCAAAATCTGAGATCATTGTTTGGTTGTTTAATAGATCATCTTAATTTGGTGGTTTAAATCAATTTGAAATTCACATATATATAGTTTTTTCTTTGCTATTGATATCTCAATCAAGAGATTTTTGATTTACATCATATCCACATTTGTTTTTCTTTATTTCTAAATTCTATTTACATTTTTGATTCAGTTATTTACATCAGAGAAGTAGCATCATCGTTCCGTTTGAAAATACTGCAGCTGCATCAAAACTCTGAGTTTAATTTGCCCACCACCTCCCCAATTTTTGTACATCCACTTTGTGATTTTAGCTACTTTGTATTATTCATTTTGATTCAATTTGTTCCACAATGTTTGTTAATTTGGAAACTTAATGATATTGTTTGTATCATTTATTGTGTTTATGATTTACAATGCACAATATTCTTTGTCATATTGAAGCCTGATAGGCCCTATTCTATTGTTCGCCATCTTTTTGCTTTTATAAACTTTTGAACAATTTTTCAAAGTTTGTGATTGAACTAATCAGTATTATTGGTATTTGTGAAAATATTTTTGCAGGGAAATAAGGGTATTTATTTGATGAAATGTTATGTAACTAGATGTTATAATGTTTGCTGATTACCCTCTTTGTTTGTGAATCCAATATTTCGTCATTTGTTACAATGAAGGGCATTGAAATGGTAAAATTTTCCATTTGAACGAAACGTTCTGAGTCATGTTTTGAACGTCAATTATAACATAACGACACGCCCATTTCTTTAGAAACGAGAAAGGAATATTCGTCGTAATGTTTCATGACACTACACTTTCTGCGACAAGCAACATGAGTTACACTGAAATGAAGATTTTTGAATAAGAAAGAGCTATGTATAGAGTTCCCGCTCATATAAAACACGCATTGCAACGAATTTGTACATAACTACGATTTTATCATGTTTATTGGAGTTCGCATAGCACATGTATCAGTCGAACACGTGCTTACTCATTGTTTATGTAGACCGTCAATTTCATTGGCTATTATATTTACGAAATACCTGTTCTACAGGTATTCGATTGAATCATTTGACCGATTTTTCTTTTCTAAAGAAATAGGCGTGTCTAAAGATAGCTCAAAACGTTCCATCCAAGCAGAAAATTTTGCCACTTCATTATCAGACAATTGTCCTGTTGTATAGTTTAAGCAAAAACAAGCTTCGGTGAGCTGTTTGGATGGAAAACGGTATGAGACATAAATATACGTACAATCGAAGTAGACAAAGAAAAATAATAAGATGGGAAATATGTGTACTCTCTGTAGTCACACAAGAGCTGTGAATTATATGTAAACACAAAAAAATGATTTAATTTAAAGGTTATCTGTGAAATGTTGTTTAAATTTCTAAAAAAATAAAAAAATAAAGAGTTTAACAAGATTATGATTTTCTTGAACACATCAATATCTACTTCTTTAAAAAATGTAAAACTTTGCTTAGATTTTTTTTGAAGAGAAATCATGACGAGAAAAAAATGTTTTTAAAATAGATTTTACTATCCAAAAGAGTGAAATACTCGTTTATGTACTAATGACATTTTCAAATAAGTATATTTTTCAATCCAATCTAGGTTCAAATTCCCATGAAAACAGTTAAATTGTTACAATAATTTTGATGCAACAATATTGTATTAAGTTCAAAAATATTAAACAAATCAAGGAGTGTTTTGATACCTAAGCGAAATCTTAATCTGCAGATTTTAGGATATTTCCCTGATTGCTTGATCGGTCATCGTATTTATTCATTCATGCTTAATTTCAAATATACTATATATATGATTGAATATCATTTATTTGAAAGTTACTTATAAGATTATTCATGTCTGCCAAAATTTTTATTTCTTATATATATATATATATATATATATATATATATATATATATATATATATATATATATATATATATATATATATATATATATATATATATATATATATAACTGTATCTCACTTCCATTCTCAATGATCGTGTAGTGTAGGGCAGCGTTGTGAGAATTCCATCGGCATCGAAAGCAAGTTTTTTAACTTGCCTAGATAGCCGAGCGATCTAACGCGCTGTTCCTTCACTGCTAGGAGACAGATTCCGTAGGTCGAGAGTTCAACCCCGGGCTGGGGCGGAAGTGAGTATCCTTGTAAAAGTGAATTTCTCTGTGCTTTCTATATTAATATTCCTTCACTTAGGGCAGTTATATTAATTTAAGAGTTGTTGTAATTTGTGCTTTATAAAATAAAATTAATATCATCTCAACATGTATTGGTAACGATCCTCTAAGAACTAATGTCCAAATAACTGTATCTCACTTCCATTCTCAATGATCGTGTAGTGTAGGGCAGCGTTGTGAGCATTCCATCGGCATCGAAAGCAAGTTTTTTAACTTGCCTAGATAGCCGAGCGGTCTAACGCACTGTTCCTACACTGCTAGGAGACAGATTCCGTAGGTCGAGAGTTCAACCCCGGGCTGGGGGCGGAAGTGAGTATCCTTGTAAAAGTGAATTTCTCTGTGCTTTCTATATGTATATATATATATATATATATATATATATATATATATATATATATATATATATATATATATATATAAAAGTAAAAAATCCAAAAATATCACAAAACATTTCACAAAACATTAGTAAATGTTTTGTGATATTTTTGGATTTTTACTTTTTAATATACCAAAAACTGTACCGATTCTTCATTTGTTTTGAAACTATATATATATATATATATATATATATATATATATATATATATATATATATATATATATATATATATATATATATATATATATATATATATATATATATATATATATATATATATATATATATATATATAAAATAAAATATATATATATATATATATATATATATATATATATATATATATATATATATATATATATTATATGAATATAGCCCTTTGATGAGGTTGATCCATAGATATATCGACTTCACAGAAAAGCATATAGACCGAGCACGAAGTGCGAGGTCGATATGCTTTTCTGTGAAGTCGATATATCTATGGATTGACCGAATTAAAGGGCTACATTTGTTATATTATTTTTTACAGAGGTTGATAAAAAAAACAATTTGAAAAAAAATGGGAACAAGCCACAAGTTTTCTCTCTTAAACACTTAGAGACTAGAAATCAAAATAAATAGTTGTTTAATATAACTGAGTTAAACTTTCCTTGACATTTTTAGATTTTTACATAATTTAGAGGATTTACTAATTGAAAATATACAAATGTACATCTTTTTGATTATGTTTTGTATCAATTTTAACAAAGATATTCAATATGTTCTAATATTAAGTAGATCCTAATTCAGGCCATTGTTACGTCTTATGAGTTACAGAACATTACAAATTTAGATACCAGTTGAAGTATATATATATTATTTCAGAAACATCAAGTCATATAATGTATTAGCTATAATTGTGAAATCTTTCCTATTAATTTTTTGTTCTACAGAAAATTACCTTTATTTTAAGAAACATCAAGTCGATATGCATTTCAGATTCTATAAATAGTAACTCAAGTCTATATGCTGTTATATACTAAATCATGTGACCAAGTTTAAGCCAATCAGAGAGCTTGGAATATATGATTAAAATTATATATATATATATATATATATATATATATATATATATATATATATATATATATATATATATATATATATATATATATATATATATATATATATATATATATATATGATGCAATTGTTGTTACAGTTTCTTTGTAGGTAACTTATATCAGGAAATCCAGAGAATGTGGTACAGAAGCCCATTTAGGACCTATAAAAATATTTTTGAAATTTGTTATAACAATATTTTTATTTCTTAATTACAAATATATATATATTGAAGCAATTGTTGTTACAGTTTCTTTGTAGGTAATTTATATCAGAAATCCAGAGAACGTGGTGAACGGAGCATCACTGTGGGTTTGATAACCTTTACCGCTGTTGTGCTTAACCCACACCGTGTCCCCCTGTTGCAGCCTTAATGTCACAAGATTTGTACCTGTCTCGCCCTGATCAGTAAAGTGCGCAACGTGAGCCCCTGCTCGGACCTTGCTAGATCCATTTTGAACAATATCTATATTTATAGAGTTGATACCGGAACTTAGGATACTGACATAGAAGACATAATCTCCCTCCATTGGTGCGGTGAAGATTCCGGTGTTCGGGTTATGTCCTCCTCCCACGTTGTTGATGACTTTGTTGTACACCAAGGTACCACTGCTCCAGGAGCTGCTAGTAGACGACACTCCAGCAGTGAAAGCTACTCTCTTTGACAAGTCTAAAAATTTAGCACAATTAATTATTTGTTAGCTTTCTGGGGCTGTAATACATAATTAAAGTTAGTATTTTTCAAAGATTTTGTATATAATATCATTACTGAAATGTTGTAAGAGCATTTCAGACCGATATATGATATAACATGTATAATAAAAGGGAATTTGAAAAAAATGTTTAATTTGAAAATTACGCGTATTTTTGTGCGTTTCAATGTCAAACATCTTACACTTCTTTTAACAAAAAATTTATCCTTTAAAAATGGTCCTTTAAAACGAATTATCAAAGTAAGTTAAGATCAAAATCTAGTAAATGAAAGGTGCCTAAGATTTATCAAACTTGAGAAATAAAGTCCTTTATTGATGCTTTACAAATTAAGCTTGGTCAAATAAGGTGTCTCGGGTTATAATTTGTAGGTAAACAAGATGAAAAACTGTATTTTAAACTGTCATTGTCAATGAAAAATTAAGAAAACCAGTCATGAATATGGGAGTTTTTTTCGTATTCGGCAAAGGAAATGTATCCAGATTGCTTACAGTCTCTCAGAAAACGGTAATAAGTATGTTCATGGCCTCCTCTTTAAATCAATATCAAATTTAATATAGGTATCCGGTTTACTTTTCATATGATATCAAATTGAATGATATGAAAATACCCCATTTTCTACATAATTTTGCTATAGTCGTAAAGTACGGGGAAAAGAAAGTTGAAATTGTTCATGACGTCATAATGGATCTGGCACCAAAAAATTAGTCTCAAGTTATTTACTAGATCTTGACTTTTTAAGAGGTAAAACAATAACAGACCCGCCTCATTACATAATGCAATGTTTAAAAAAAACTGTTGTCATTGAAATGTTATGATTTTTGAGTTCAGTTCATTACTCTGATGATGTAATTTTTACAAAGAAAATTAATAGAAAATGTAAGTTGTAAACAAATCAGCAGTGACAATTTATGTGACAATTTCCCTGTAAAACAAGAATAGGAAAGCTAAATAAGAGATTATAAAATTGTGTTCCTTTTAAAAAGTCTGATCAAAAACAGTTGACTTTGGGTTAATTTATCAAAATTTACATTCATTGACTGTTCTCGAGCAGCGAGCGTTTTTTCGTACCCAAGAACCAAATTGTTTGGTTTGAGAGATCGACAAAACGCATTTTGCCTGAGAACACAGTCAATAAATCTTCTTATTCCTTCTAACTTTGACATGTCATGAAGTAAATTTCGTTTAGCTGCAGTTCTGTCGAACGGCAACGAACGCAAATAATATACTAGTATAGTTGAACCCGACTACCCGCCTACCCTGTGACGTAAGCGCTAAGTTGGTCCACCATCTCAGTCTGCCCGCTCAGTAAAACATTTGAATTGTTCTAGACTTTTTTTTGAAAATTTATATATTTTCTTCAATATCTACAACCATTCATGTAATGAAACTTTTTAACCATTGTATATTTAAAGTAAATATTTGTAAACAATTATAATATTGTGATGAATTTGATAGACTTCAATGCAATTCAAATTGATTAGGAAATAGTAACAGAACACATAAAAGATATCAGTTTTATTAACTTACTTCCCAACTGAGAGGAAACTTTTGTCAAAAACGTCTCTAAAGCTGCAACAGATGACACGTTTGCTTTCAGTGCCTCAATTGTCTGTAACCCTGAAAAAAATTGTAAAATCCCTGTGTCAAAACCTTTTTGCATTTGTAAAACTGAGTCTTACTTTTTGAAATGTTCAGTCCACATAAGGAATCGATTTTCTACACATATCTGCATTTTCATTTTTTATATACATGTAGACGCTAGTTTTCCGATTTAAGCCGTTCTTATTCTGCATCTTAATGGAAAATTGTCTTTAGTTGCAAGTTGGATTTTTTGCTGGGCTTTGCTGAAAGCAAAGTCCTGGCTATAGGCGTCATGAACGCCTCTCTTACAATAACTATAAATAGCTCTACAGAAAAAAGTAAACAAAAAAAACAAAACAAACATCGTCCAGGGAGATCGATGTCTGTCCGATAAACAAAATAGTCAAAATGAGAGACAATACTTAAACACTTATTTTTCACATCTCAGTCTTTGGAAATATTAATCAATAATTTTGTTTGAGAACAAAATTAAAAGACGAATAATTTATCTTATTGGGGTTTAATTGCGATAGAGCATTCTCACTAAAACTCTTATCTTTTTTTATTTATTCATTTATTTGTTTTTTGGATATAAAGTATTTTAATTGCACTTAAGGGTAAAGTGCCATCAAGCGAAGTTGTATGAACACGCTGTACACTTTACGAAAAGCAAAGTGTGTATCATGCCACAGTAACTTGACATCACGGAATGACAGCTTGTACATTTCGCCACTTTGCTTTAAGGTAAGACTGCCATGTGAAACAATTCACTGACACGCTACCCTTAAATTTGTATGTAAACTGTCATGGCTGATATCGGCCATCGTAGAAAAGAGAGTATCAGCTGCCTCGTTTAAAGTCATCATTTTGTAAGTTCTGGTCGATGAAATAGCCTTGTCAGCAAATATAATTTATCATTCAGTCAAATGCTGACTGAAGTTTTTCATACTAATTATTAGTCCAGTATTTACACACTGAATTGATGAAAGGTTTTCTTTTATATTCCGATCAAGCCAAGGAGCGCACGGTGGTGCGACCGACCGGCAAAAGAGGCCCACGCCTCCATGGCATTTGATCCCACCTCTTATGTTTGCTCTTCATCATATTTTCATTAAATATGAAAGCGTGTTCAGTGAAAAGAAATACTGAAAAAAGATAATCTGTACTTTTTACTGCTAGCTCCATTATTCCCAAAAGTCGTTTTTCTGAAATTATAAACGAGAGGCCAATGGGACAAGATTGGCTGAAATCGGCTCGGTACTTACTACTTAATGCAATTGAGAAGAAAATTTGAAAAGTTTACGATGACGACAATGCTGCCAACGACAACGACAGACAACGGACAAATTTTGATCAGAAAAGGTTCAAAATGTCAAATCATCAAACAAAGTAGACAAATGTAAATGTAACATCATTTTATCCAAAATGTTAAAGATGCCAGTAATTTCTGAAATAATGATGTAAACCTTTCCGATGTTTAATTGTCTAATATGAAATATTGAAAAAAAATTGTTGGAGCATTTTCTGTATAAATAGGGTTTTGTTTTAGATTATTTTATAAATAATCAATGAATTACGGAAACTTGTTACGATTGTAAGCAACATAACTTCTTACATATCCTATGCTGGTGATTTTTTTTCTTGTTAAGGATAAATAACACAAACATTATTTTTTATTCCTAAAATTCAAATATTTATGCTAAAATGTGTGAATCACTAACTTTATAAGTAATTTTTGTTTAGTTTAACAGCATTATGTTTGGCAAAGCCACAAAATTTGGTAAAAAGTGCTAAAATGTTACTTTACAAAAAAAGTTTTAAAATTGCCTGAATTTTTCTTACAGCAAAGTTTCTGAGGACATTTTCAGCTTTGAAACTATATTTTTTTTTGTAATTTAGATTTCTCGTACAATTTATACAATTCAGCACGTAATTAAAACATACTTAAATCAATATTCAATATATTGACATATCAATATTCGATGCGATTTTTAAAATATTGAATCATTATTTTAATTAATGTGTTATCAATAAAGAAGTACACAAATATCATTTTATATACGTCTTATTTCTCCATAATGTTTTAATACAACCACAGTAAAATCGATTTCACGACAGTTCACGCATAATTGACGATGATTTCACTTGGTATTCCATTGAACAATAGATAAAAACCAAACGCATATATAATTTATAAATGCTATATCGTTGAAAAATGATACATTCAGACTAGCAAACTTTCAGAGAATTGTGTTGATTTATCAAAGATATTTAAATTTGCCATCATATAAAGATGATTACTGTAATTTTAAAATATCTCTTAACTTTTATACGATATATATTTACATTTGCAAATGTTTCCCTTATATAACACTATTTGAAGAAGACGGTTTTACATCTCAGTAAAACAAGTTCGTCATGTGACCATAAATTGATTGTTTAGTCATGAGCAAACTACGTAATTTAATAGTGACGTCATAAGCGATCGACGTTAATAACACATTCAATTTATTTGAATTAGTTCAGTTGAGTTTTGAAAAAAATGTGATGGATTTCAAACTTTTCTTGATTATCTTACTATTTGTAATAAATCAGTCACAAATGTAAATATAAGTTATAAGGTATCATTTTCTGAGTTTTATTGGGATGTAAAATGGGTTGGCACATGATCAAATCTTCCATAAAGCCCTCCGGGATGGGATTTGATCACGTGACCAACCCGTTTTACATCCCAATGAAACTCAGAAAATGATACCTTATTTGTAAATTATAAGTATTCATGCTATAAAATTCTTTAATAATGGTTTATTCAAAATGACTTGAAATGGTATTAGCATACACAAAGTGTATTAGTTCTATTTACTTACTTTTAATTTCAATTGAAACTTTTGTCAAAGACGTCTCCAAAGCTGCAGTAGATGACACATTCGATTTTCTTTCTTCAATCATCTGTAACCTTGTATGAAATTTTTTTTGCATTTGTGAAATTGAGTCTTTAACTGTTTGAAATGTTCCATTAACATAAGGAATTAATTTTTGATGTTTATCCGCATTATCATTCCTTAAACGCTGATTTTCCGTTTTAAGCTTTTCTATTTCTGCTTCTAACTGGAAAATTGTCTTTTCAGTCGCAAGTTTAAATTTTTCCGAATTTGTTTCTAACACGAGCATTGAATTCTTTACTGTCATAATATCTTTCATTAAGGAGTGAACGTTTTGTACCAGAGCCACTCGAATAAGAGCTTCTTGATTCAGACGCTGACGGAAACTATTAGAATTTTCCAACGCATCATTGGTCACTAGTCCTCCAGTCACATTTCCAATACTGAAATTGTGGTTGTTCAGCAATGAAAAAGCATTTGAACACTCGTTTAACAGGCAAAGTACGAAACATCTAAGTAAATGTGCCATTTTTTGCTAATGTGTTTATGTGCTTTACCGTCCACAGATTAAATATTAATAAGAACAACCTCAAATTTATAGTGAAATAAACAGTTATTCTTGCTGATGGTGCATAAAAATATAACAGCATTAGCTTGTCTAGTGTCAAGTACGAACTTCCCAAGATCAACCTGAGACTTAAGATAACATTTTTTGAATTATTGTACTGACGTCATAATGGGCAAATGAAAATTTTGTAAATTAAGATTTGAAGTGCTCAAGACTTAAGGAGAAAAATGCATCTCAAAAAAGGTATATAGCAAATGTAGGAGTAGAAAATGCAGATAAGAAAGGTTAATTTTGGAGGGATATAGAAGAGAGATCAATTATTACATGTACTACTTTATAAGTCTGAAGAGCTCAAAAGTTGAAACAAGCTTTAAAGGTACTTGGACACAGATTTGAAGTTAATATTTTCTGTATAATATCACAAATTGTATATTTTAATAGCATTTCACACTAAAATTAATTAAAAATCTTATTTCATTTTATTCCTAAGTATTAAGAATAAAATTAAAATTTGTGAAAGTGCAAGGATGTGTAAATCAAACCCGCCAAAAAAATTGAAGTTTAAATTAATAACTTTTATATGAAATAAGATTTTTAATTAGTTTTTGTGTGAAATGCTAATAAAATATATAAGTCGTAATATTATAGAGAAATATTAACTTTAAATCTGTGTCCAAATACCTTTAAGACTTAACGGAACTCCCATCAGTTTTCCAAGGAAATTGGTGATAAAAGATAAAGGATTGCAGGTGTCATAACAGTATTACACTTTGGTTCACGTCAAATCATGGCTGACGCAAAATAATCCCGGAATCTTCCCTTCCGATTCGGGCATTTTGATACGAGACTGGAGCTGCATTTTTTTATGAGATGAAAAACAACATGTAAACTTCCTGTATTGACCAGATCTATTAAAATTTAGGGCGTGCTGATTTTTCTGTATACTGTCAAGAGTGGGGAGTGATTAGGCCCTGGACTAGATTTTCAAACACCTGCTCGACTTCGACCGAAACAAACTTGCGTGCCTTGCTGGATGGCTATGTATTTTTTGGTACTAAAATCTTTATAAAGAATGGTTTTACAAGATCTGAAAAGGAAACTTCTCAGAAGTTTGTTTTGAATTAGTTACATCTACTCAAACTTGCGCATTTGTGGTAAGAATATATAGCAGAAATTAATACTGTTGTGACACCTGCATTTCTGCAATATATAACTAAGTCTAAGCTGGGGCTTCCTTGCAATCCCAGGAGTCCTGAGTCAACCCGTTGCCGTGAGACCTTTTTTCTTTCATTCAATATTTTAGGGCTTGCTTCCCTCATTGAACCAAATTAATTAAAGCTTCCATAATTAGTAAGATAATGTACACAGAAATAATTCGGATTACACCATAGATGCACGTGTTACAAGTTGTTTACCATGGAAGGGCTTTACCCGATTGGTTGAGAGATAAGAATATAATCAAAATTGATTTTAGAAATCGGAAAGGCATCGCTACAGCAGACCATGAGTGGAATTTGATACGGGACCCATTCCATAACCATGATAAAATTGGGGGAAAACGAATTGAAATACGACACACTTTTCAATGACATTGAAGAAGAATTAATTGGTACATAGAAAATTCAGAAATTCCATAGTTAAATGCGGAGGAACATTTGTATAGAATTTATAGGGACAAGCAGGAGAAAGTTTTATAATTTGTCCCGAAATATGCTAGATAACATAGATAATTGAGCGATTTTTTTTTTAAAGAGGAGCGTTGATATTCTCTACATACAAGCGAATTGGAAGAATTTGACAAATTAAGTATAGTACCGCAAACCTAGCTACACCACTTAATCACTTCTTGAATTTAAATGTTCAAATGTCAAAAAAATATCATTGTGAAACATATAAGATCTCAAAAATCTGAAACATAATTCTAACTCGTGTTCATGCTCTTATTTACCATATATTTATAGTCCTGCTGGACAGATTGATTATTACTCATGATCTATAAGCAGAAAAAAGCAGATAACAACACTGTCTTCATTTGAAAGACTCATTATTTATTTCAGATGTAATTTAGAGGAACTGGGATTTAATTCTACAAGTGGTAATCCAACTTATACCCATAGCTCTCTTTCTAGTTTAATCTGTTCAAGTTTTTAGATTTGAATTTTATTTTTTTTTTAGCGAAAATACCCAAGCATATATAGATAGAAACATTCTAAAGTAGAAATATGTTTTTTAAAAAAAAAATAATATAACTATAATTCAATCAATGTATACATGTTTTGTATAAAAACAGCCAGAGTAACAGTGAAGCAGTGATATATTAGAGTTGACCAATATATTTGAGAAGTGGTCTACATCAGGTGTGATTATTTAAAAATTATAAAAAAAACTTAAAGAAATTTTGAAATCTCAAAACTAAACCAAATTCAATAAACATATAAAGAGTATTGCATAAGAAATACATGTAGCTGCCGGGTTCCCTTTTTCTGTTAAGAATACAAGCTCGCTTAGAACATTAATTTAGTGCATCACAATCCTGATCGTTAAGGCAATCATAAAAAATAAAAATGTCATAATTTCGTCAAAAATCAATGATACGGAAAGAAATTCAAATGTGACCCTTAACTTATCCAGATACTCTTACATATTAAAACTCAGCTCAATATCTGCAAGCGTTTAGAAAAAAGTGCGGAAAACCAAGTGCGACAGACTGACAAATGGAGGGTCAGACAGACGGACAGATAAACAGACGGACGGAAGACTCATAGGAGACTTATAGCCCTAACAGTTTCACCGGTATGGGACTTATACGCCTTCGCAACTCTTAATACAACCATTTACCATAAAGAATTAAAAGCCATGCATTCTGACATCATAGACAGTTGCATAATCATAATAAATGAAACTCTCTTAAATTTTATGATTTAATGTGTCATTTTTCATTTGGCAAGTGTTTTGTAAATATTATTCTGATTGAATACACAAATGCCTGAAGTGGATTTTAAACATATGACAAAAAAGATAAGAAGAAAACACTTGCTGTGGATTTCAACTTGATATGGATATAGTTGATTGAGATAAGTTATTATAAAACAATAGTTGAGATTTTGATGAAAACATTTCAACTTTTATTAAAATTATATTTTTAATCCGGTCGAACTAGATCCTTACATGTACACACTATCAAGCTGGAGCGGATCAATTTCAATTAGATTGGACAATATCTATAGTTGAGATAAGATTTTCCAACAATTTGTCGAAATTCTAATTGATACCGATTGCACACATAATTATCAGACCATTTTTGTATTCTTATGAAGCGGAACTTATCCAGTAAATTTACTAACAATAAGAAGAAAAAAGGACTTGTTGTGGCCTTCAACTCGATATTTAGACGCATAAACATCGTATATTATCGCCCAGTGGGGATGCGGGTTAGAATAGGTCCTCAGTACCCCCCTTGCTTGTCGTAAAAGGCGACCAAATGGGGCGGTCCTTCGGATGAGACCGTTTAAACCGAGGCCCCGTGTAACAGCAGGTGTGGCACGATAAAGATCCCTCCCTGCTCAGAGGCCGTAAGTGCCGAGCATAGGCCTAAATTTGCAGCCCTTCACCGGCAATGGTGACGTCTCCATATCAGTGAAATATATTCTGGAGAGGGACGTTAAACAGTATACAATCAATCAATCGTATATAATCATCAATTAACAACTGAATATTTACTCATATGTTGAGTCCATCTATCCTATTAAACTTGAAACAAAAGATATTGCAGAGTATTTGTCATCTTTGGATATTTAACAAGAAGAAGACGTTAAAATCAAAACTTTATAAAAAAAACGTAAAGATTGTTACTTTTCTATCGCCAACTTCGAATTCCCTGAACCTACATATTGGGTTCATGTCTCCAATATGATGTGATACGCAAAAGCGTGTTCTACATGTGAACAATTCCTAAACCTAGGCAAGGCATTGGTAGACAAGTTTTTAAAACAAACATTTTAAGAACCTCGTCTTAAGTCATTGTTTTGCAACTTCCTTCTCGTTAAAAGTTAAATGCTGACTGACGTTTTCATATTCATTGTTAGGTTATTATTTAAATATTCACTGTGGATGGCAGGGAATGCTTAATCCCTCACGACATCCGACCTAACAAAAAGTACTATAGTTAACTACAGTATATTTAATTATACTTTAGTATGATTAACTAAAGTGGACTATGGAACACCAAAGTGTCAAATTTATCACTATAGTAAATCAAAGTGTTCACTATAGTGTCACTATACAGGGATCACTATAGTTAATCAAGTTTTCAAAGTGATCACAAAAGTTTCATAGTAATCACAATAGTAAACAAGAAAACTTTGATGTAACCATCAATTGTCGCCCAGGAGATAAATCAGTTGAACCACGGAAAGGAGTTTTGATCATCAAACCACTTCAATATTTGAGAAAAAGACATGCGTCTGAATGATATAGACAATTGTCGAGAAGATTTTGAAAATTTATAACTAACAGGTTAACTTCCTGAAATCTAGCCTCATGAATGATACCTTCCAATACAAAGTTTCAAAGTTTCAGACCATAAATTTAAATGAATTTTCTTTTCAATATTTACAATTTACTTTGTTAAAAGATAAACAATACTTTATTATCCTATCCTTTTACACGAATTCTTTAAGCAGTTTTCTCATTTTTCGGCACTAAATTTCGACAAAATTAAGACAAGTATGGAAAATGTGCAAAGTACCTCGAAAAATACTTATCTTTAAGAAGTAAATTTGAACATTTCAACCAAATAGTATCAAAGAAAATTCCATTTATTAATTTGTAAAAACCTATGATAGAATAATACACATTTAACATCATACAATTTATAAATAAATTTCCTTCTAGAATATTGACTTTTAAAACAAAAGAAAATGATTTTAGAGAATGTACACCTTTAACATGAAATAATTTAATACTATAAGGGTTATGTGTTGTCTAGTGTGAAAAATAATCATCACAGCGTTCTGAAATTTTTACTACTCTTTAGTATATATATTATGAATATACAAAACAAATTTC